ATTATTTTATTTTATTATGTGTATATAATTTTTTTTTGATTTTAAAATGTCCGCATAATTTTGGTCGTTGACTGTAGATTTTGCCAATTAATAGTGATTCTAGTAGTGATAATGAAACAAAAATGACATATTTTACAAACTATTTTGGTGTATCAACAGTCATTTATTCAACAGTACCTATAGAATATCCTGCAACATCTTCTGAAGTGTTGCAACAGTTTTTAGTATACAAGGATGGAAAGACCATATGAATGCATTTAATGATGTAAGTTAAAACTTAAACCAGTTTATTTCTTTTTATTAATTAATTAATTTAATTAAAAACTTATTATTTTTAGATAAAGTATTCTATTGGTGGTGGATGTAGTTCTCCTATTCAAAAGTTTTCTTATTTTGGTGATATTCCTGTTACAAAATATGTAAGAAGGTGTCAAGAAATCAAACATTGTTTCTTTGCTAATTCTGATCTTATAAATACCGAACATTATGAAGTAGATTTTGATCTAATATTTATAAACAGATTAATAAAAATAATAATAGAAATGATAAAGAAATTGTACATACACATAAGTATTTTTTTTAATTTAATTTTTGATTAATTAAATATAATTTATTAATTTTTTTTAATTATAGTATATTTCTTGCTGCTTAAGATTCACATTGTAAATTTAAGCAAAATGGTATTATTTGTTCTGAATAACCTAAACTTATACAGTTATTAGAAAATGAATCTTACAAATATCATTAAATTATTGGATATACTAACTATAAGCCTCAAGAAAATAGCACAGATATATAGTAATTGATACTCATCAAATTGATATTGATTTATTATGCAAATTATTCAATGAAGAAGCTATTATAAGTATGTTTAATTGGATTTTAATTATTATTAATTAATTAATTAACTTTTTTTTATTTAAAGATAAAAAAAATATAGATCAATATTCTACTATTATTTCAAAAAGTTCTAGAACTAAAAAATGTGATATGTTATTAGATTAATTATATTATTAATAATTAATTAATACATATTATTTACTATACTAATCCATTTATTTAAAGCTTTTATTTACTATTATAACAGTAGTATTATATAAGGCAAATTGTAGATAAGTCATGTAATGTTAAAATGTATAAGTTTATTCCTAATGATTTACAAGAATATCCATTTATTATGCTTATTTGTGTTGGGATTCACAACTACCCACCATCTTCTTCTGAAAGAACTCCCAATAACATTAAAGATAATTTACAATCAATAATTAAAAAACAATTGAAAATGATGATACAGTAACATCTGGATCAATAATCTAAGGTATTATAAAAAATAAATTATAATTAATTACTTATTTTTAATATATAATTGTAAATAATTAATTAAAATTTGCAATTAATTATTTTAGTAAATATGTTAAAAGTATATTTTAATAAGAAAACTCTTCAAGAGATTCATAAATTATTGATAGATTATGTTATCTTGTTGCAAAAACTTATAAAAATATTTATCCTTTTGGATAACATATTTAGGAATCTTTTAAAGTGTATATAGTAAACAATTTGATCTTCATAATTATATTTATAGAATTAATAGGATTTTGTTTTATTAATTTAATTATTACAATAATTTAATTCAATAACCAATTTTTCTTTTAGATTTTTTTTGGAGATAGGCTTGTTCTTATTATATATATATTTAAAAACTAAGCACAATTATTACAACATCTTGAATGCTTTTAAATTGATTTATTCTTCAAATGTATTAAAGTGATATTAATGAATTTAAAATAAGTTCATATGATAATTATCATAATTTAAGTAAGTAAATATTAAGTATTTATTTTCTGAAATAAAGATAATGAAATTAATATTATAATATTTATGAAGTTTTATCTTACTGTCATATTTACACAAATGTAAATACAGCAGAAGGATACTACTGTTTATTTATAACTTTATTTGATATTATCAAACAATTAACTGGAAAACTTATTTAAGTTAAACATATTCATAGTAATAGATGGAGTTGTATTATAAGAGATTTTGAAATGACACAAATAAAAGAGTTAGTTTAGATACAATACGTAAATGGAAATTCACATTATGAATATTTTAAATCATGTCAAGTATATTTTTAAAGGTAATAATTTCAAAAATTATAATTATTATTATTTATTTATTTTATTTAATTTTTAATCTTTTGATTCAAGAATCTACATAATGAATATTTTAGTAATCTAATTAAAGAAAATGATTTTATTGCTAAAAGCAATAAGTAAAATAGAATTAGATCATATTTTTTTAGATATTTAAAAATCTAATGAAGATAGTGTAAATGGTATTTTACTAAAATTTATTTTATTTATTTATTTTTTTTTTAAAAACTAATTAGCTAATTTTATTATTTTAATTAGACTGGATTGATTATTAACAAAGATCTTATATTTTAGCAATGATTAATTCATCTGCGTCATTAATAAATATTAAAATATGAAATTGATATAAAAATAATACTAACACAGCAGAGATTGCACACTCTTTAGTTAATAGAACTAGAAAGTAGCTAAAACTTTATCAGCTAATTTATGGTTTGTATTTAATGTGTTTTATATAAAAAAATTTTAATTTAATTATTTATTAAATATTTTTTAAATTTAAAGATCAAAATTTAGATGAATGTCATTTAAAAATAATTAAAATTCAAGACTTTTCTGCTGTTCCTTATGCAAACTAAGATAAAAGTCAAGTTAAAAGGCAATTGCTTGCAATAAATTGAAAAGGTAAATTTTTTATTTAAAATTTAATATTTATAATAAGTTAAAAATTAATAAAATTTAATTTGCAGATAAACGAAATCAAAATATAATAATAAAAATTCATTAAAGAAAAATTTATATAGCCAACCCAAATTATCTAAAATCAATATATAGATGAAAATGATTATGAATTTGAAAGTAATAATATATGATCAAAAAGTTATTATTGTAAAAAGATACTAACATTTAGAATTTGAAATAGAAGAATGAAAAATGAATTTAAAAGAACAGAATATAACTTTAAGAAAAGTAGTAGTTGAGGTAGAAGCTATTAAAATTGCTAATAAAAAAGCAAAATTCGTCTTAAAATTTAATTAGATTTAACATTTTTAAGAAATAAAATTAACATGAAACTTTTATTATACAGTCCCTATCAAAAATAATAGCAGTTGGAAATATTGCTTCTTGTGTAAACTACAGCAACTCTATTATTCTAATTTGGCTCATTATTTATTAACAAAATTAGATAATAAAATGTTTATATTAAATAAACAATAAAAAAAAATAAATTAAAACCCTTTTAAACTTTTTTATTACTTACTAAAATCACAATACCATCAACATCTATTAAAATGAGCTGTGAAATCATAAAGTTTCTTTGGAATAGAAATATATAATATTTGGGCTGTTTTTAAAAAAAAAATCGAGTAAAATATTAAAAATATTAGTTGCATAAAAAAAAAATTTAAATGAAATTTTTTTTTAATGAAGAAATGGAATAATCTTGATAACTCAATATTACTTAACTGTATTAATAGTATGCTAATCGAATTTAAGCATGTATTGATGCAAATGAAAGATACACTACATATTAATTATCTAACAAAATTTATAAATATTGTTTTTATCTTTATTTTAAAAAAAATTTACCTATATTTGATATAAAATTACATGTATAAGGTTAAAAAAACTGTCCACTATTACTTTTGATAGGGACAATATATCATTTACTAAAATTTATCTAAAAATTCTGATTCTAATTAAAAGAATTACATTCTCATATTCTTTTAAATCCTTTACTATTTAACAAATTAACATAACTCCATTTATGTTTACAATTATCTTGATCACATAGAATATTTATTTTTATCACTATTATTGATAATTTTATTGTCTATTGATTTTCTTTATTACTTATTCTTAAAATAATAAATAAATATATTTATTATTATTATATATTTTTAAAATATTAAATTGCTTCTTTAATTTACTCATTAAATATATACATATTTTAATTTATTAAATTGCTTCTTTAATTTATTTATTTAATACTAAATTTTTTATTTTTAGCGAAATATAAACAAATATTCTATTTTTAATAATTTTCTTATCAAAAGTAAGTGGTGTTTTAGAACTACTATAATTTTCAGTAACAAATATCAATACTGAAGTCCTATCATTATTTAAATCATATTTGAATCCATTTCAATATAATTTTAACCAAATTTTTTACCATTTCTTAACCAAAGTTCATTAGATAAAGTAAGTTGATAAAATTGTTTTTTCTCTTCAGATTGTAAAGGATTAGATTATTAATAATATAAAATATATTCTTTTAGTTTTAAAACTTCTATAACTAAATAATGTAATATAGTTCACAGATTTGAATTTTCTTCTAATCTTTGATCATCATGCATTAAGTAAAATCTAAGTTTATTATTATTATTATATATTTGATGTTAATTTTTTAATACTTCCTTTAATTCATTTTCTTTTGCTTTATTAAAAGGTATTAATAATTTTGATTTAATAAAATTGGCTGTATGATAATCTGACCTACAATTAACTATTATATGATCTCTAACTTGTCGTAATAAATTCACCTTGAAATACTTGGATTGTATGATATAAGAATATTTGTTAGTAAATATAACCTAACAATTTTGATTTAAGAGATTTTTCTTTATTTAACCAGAAAAGTCTTGATTTAGAAATTACACAAACTTTGCACAAATGCATATTATGATAATTTTATAAATTATTTTAAAGAAAATAATTTGTACATGCTTCTTTATAACTACTAATTTCTTTATATTTACATTCACAATTTCCTTCTCTTAAATAAAACATAATCCAAAACTAACACAATTTATCCTTTCTTTTCTTT